AGGTCCTCCTGCCAATATGACCAAGCTTCGAAAACAAGGTCAAACAACTAATAGGCATAAATGCAGTTCTGAAGAAGGTTCTAGCGAAACCATCGAAATTAAGCCTCGAAGTAACGTAAAAAAGGTCATATATGTGTTAATTAATCAAGAAAAATAACAAACTCGTATGTCAAATTAGTTAAACATGTCAGGCCCTTTAAAACCGTCCTACTTCACTTTGCTGTACAATGAATCTAATAAAAAAGCATCAGTATGCCATTGGGGGTAACTTATTCTTATTATTCCACCGTAACAAGCCAGAAGGTCTTTTGGACTGCGTCAAAATGAATATCGTATTAAAACAAAACGAGATTCATCCATCCTCATCTGGTGAGATTGACCAACGAATCCTTTCTTCATTCACTTTCATGCCAACTGAAAGTCCCTCCAATAATATTATCTAAATAGATTCATTAAAACCCAATTTTTTTCATATCTATAACTTATTCGTGTCTCGCAAAAGGTTTTCATATCTGGACAGGACATTCAAGGTTTAACCATTCCGGGCGTTCAACCACACTCTGCATGTGATTCACAATCGAGTCGTGTGCGTCGAGCGATAACAAGTTACAATTATGCCATGCATTCACATCTTCCAGTTGGCCACAGACAAAGCAAATGTGACTTTTATGGCAAGACAAACCACTTCCAAGTCGCTCTTTTATAACTAGATTGTCGACGAGGCAATTTTGTAGTTGATATTTAAATCGAAGATTATACTACACATAGAGTCAGTACTGAGTAGAATTTGAATATGATGAAAATTAATTAAATGAGATTGAGTATAGGGTATGATAATGTTAGTATCGGTAGATCAGAAATAAGAATTTGCTTTAGTCGAGATCGTATAAACTTAATTAAAAACAATTTCCTAACTGTTTCCTCGTGGAAAAATTGGGCATCAGTCCTTACCTTAGCTTGTGTGAAATCGAATAAAGCACATTTTTATGAAGAATCTACCGATAGCCTCAAAGCATACTCACATAAAATGTGTGGAATTCGTGATTTATCCTTAAAGTCTGCTTTAAAATGCAAGCGCCACAGAACAGTGACTCACTTCATACGCTTGTTGTGAGCCCATCCATCGGGAATAGTTGGTCGGAGCATGTCCCATTGGCCACCTCCTCAGGAGAAATTGCTCAACTTTTCCCGAAGAGATTGCCTCCAATAAATCCGATTTACTGGCCAGAAATGACAAATTATGCGTCCCTTCACCCTCTGTTTCTCGAAGTGCCCTTGCAAAGCTTTGAGTGCTGACTTTTATGGACGTTTCACTTTTTTCCGACTCTATTTGATTATACTCTTCGACAGCCTCAATACTTTTATCAACTGTTCTGTCACCAGATTCAATAGAATTTTGCAAGTTTCGAAGATAAGCTTCAGGTCTAGGATTGGAAATCCTTTCTTGTCTAGCCTGTCTGTGTACATCATCTTGTTTGTGATTTTCAAGTGATTTCGAAGGAATAGATGGAGTCTGGGCTCCTTCAATGTGGTGCCGATTCTGGCACCCTCGAGTGTCACTTCCACAATCCGACTTTGTGATACTCTCACTTCTTAATTCAAAGGCTGGAAGTATCAAAGCAATCTTCGTCGACTCTGAATCACTGTAGCCATTCGTTTGTTTATTGTTCACTTCCTGCGGATGCATGACCTACACTTGTTCCAAAAGAGAATAATATTGTATGAAAGTGCTTCGAAACAATCAGTAAATCAGGAATAATCACAAATTACATGTGCTGACGATAAATGCTTTTTTCCCCAAATCCCATACAATACCTCAAATGCGACCCAAAAACCGGGTCGTGAGCACCATGACGATAAATGACCTCTTCAAATTCAGATAAAACGGCCTTTTGAACTATCGGTAGATCCGAATTTTCTCGCAATAGTATGAATAAGTCCAGTGATGACATTGAATTTCCATTTGCTTTAAAGAGTGTTGGTTCGACCTCGTTTTTGCATCTTGCAGAAAATACATAGTCCTGTGTCCTCAGCCAGAGGATTCGTGATTTCCAGCATCTGACCATTAAATTGGTACACTGCCAAACGTTCGCCAAATGGTCCGATGGTGAAACTAACGAATATTATGGCAGATGACACATGACTCGGCATGTTCCGTAATGTCTTCCTGACGTTTCGAACAAGATGTGAAAACGAGATCAAAACAATACCATAAAGCTAAAGGAGAATGTGACCAAACAGAAGGCCACACCATCTTGATGTTTGAGTACCTTTCAGCTCGTTTGAAGAGGCGAGTGGAAGGGACTCGTAAGTTGTTTCCACAGGAGGCTGTGAGGGGGTGTGCGTGTGGTTGCCTTGGCAATGAGGTTGTAATTTGTGTGAATAGGTCCTCGACACTTCGCCCTGAAAATCAGTCATGTGACGAGATCGTCAGAGCAGGACACAATGCTTGACGACAATTCACCCAAAACACGAAGACAATAAAGCTGATACGAAGAGAAAGTGGGTTAAGATGAAACTTTCATTTCGTATGAAAGTGTATGAAAAAGAGATTCGTTGGTCGATTTGACCAGATGAGGACGGAGTAATCTCGTCGTTTGGCTTTTAGACGACGATCACGATGTCCACGAGATTTCCTACCTCGTTTCGGGTGAAAATGGGCTGACCTTTCGTACATCATTCGATGGACATCATGTGAGCTGGGCCCCATTCCGGTACAAGTCTCACGTCAACAATGGATAGATCGATATAGAGTGGTTTGGCTAATTATCTTTCATGCTGGTCCTGCTACTTTTGCTCGAGTGTGTACATATGTGTGTGTGAGTGTGTGTGTTTGTGTATGTCAGGGTCCTAAATCAGAGCTGTCAAAAGGTCAATGTCAGTTACTGATCATCAATGATTAATGATCCAACAGAAAACCTTGATCGATGTTGCTTAATTCCATAAGCATGTATGGTTAAGGTAATGAGGTATGAACTTGTAAGGATGAAAGTCAAACTATGGAACCACTTGTTCTAACCTCTCAGTCTGGGGTCATTAACGTTTAACCCCAATCACACTTGCTTATGGCAATCCACAGTCTCGGACAAGGTCTTCTGTTGCATCATCAACTCTTGATGCTCAGAGTCTGACATTGGTGGTATTGCGTATAGACGCTAACACACGTACATATGCACACTCACACACTCAAGCAAAGGTAGCAGGACCAGTATGAAAGATAATTGACCAAACGACTCGATATACCTCCAGGTTTTTAATTTTATTTTATTAATTGAGTTAAGAGGTAAGATAGAACTGGAAAGTCTTCTTGCCCTCGTGTTAACGTGACCCTTTTACAAAAATGACACCCAGTTCTGAAGATGTCCGTTTTCACCGAAACGAGGGAGGAAATCTCGTGGACTGCGTCAACATGAACATCGTTTAAAAGCCAATAGGGATTCCTCCGTCCTCATCTGGTGGGATCAACCAACGAAGCTCTTCTTCATCTACTTTCGTTAGCTTGAATTTTGTTGTGACGATGTTACCTCGCTCTGATGATGTCCATCATATGACGAAAGAAAGCTAGGCACCTTTTCACCGCAATCGGATGAGATTGCCTCGGAAACAGCATCAGCATAAATCTTCCAGTAAAGCCGATCGACAGCTGGTCAAGAGGAATGCACTGTCGTCTTCTAATGGAACCGTCGTTCGAATCTCTTCACCAAACACTTCCACTTGAAATGAAAGTAAGCTCAACGATATAAATAGGATTTATTTTTCCATTTATTTCACATAGCCTTG